ATATCAAGAGTTGGTTTGAGATGTGTGTTAATGTAGAATGGCCAGGCCATAGATTATGCATCTAGACAATTGAAAGTTCATGAAAAGAAATATCCAACTCATGACTTAGAATTGGCTGCAGTGGTGTTTTTTTTGAAGATATGACGTCACTATTTATATGGTGTTCATGTGGATATATTCACTTACCACAAGAGACTACAATATGTGTTCACTCAGAAAGAGCTCAACCTCAAAAATAGAAGATGGTTTGAATTACTCAAGGATTATGACATGAGTATTCTTTACACCCAGTTAAGGATAATGTGGTTGTTGATGCCTTAAGAAGGTTGTCCATGGGGAGTACTTCCCATGTTGAAGAAGAAAAGAGGGAGTTAACAAAAGATGTGCACAGACTTGCACGTTTGGGAGCCACACTTATGGATTCCACAGAAGAAGGCATAGTGGTGACCAATGGGTCCGAATCATCCTTGGTGTCAGAGGTGAAAGAGAAGCAAGGCAAGATCCTGTTTTGCTTGATTTGAAGTCAAGTGTCCATATCCAAAGAGTATTGGTTTCCGAACAAGGAGGAGATAGTGTGCTGATATACAAAGGCAGATTATGTGTACCTATTCTGGATAGACATCAACAGATGATCTTGGAGGAGGCTCATACCTCCAGATATTCCATTCATCCGGGTTCTACCAAAATGTACTGTGATTTGAGAGAGGCATATTTGTGGGAAGGCATGAAGAAAGATATTGTAGAGTCTATTCCCAAGTGTTCAAATTGTCATCAAGTGAAAGTGGAACACCAACGGCCTGGAGGTTTAGCTCAGAACATAGAACTTCCAGAATGGAAGTGGAGATGATTAATATGGACTTCATCATAGGCTTTCCAAGATCGCTAAGGCATGATTATATTTGGGTAATGTCGACAGAATGACAAAGTCAACCCATTTATTGCCAGTAAAGACTACCTATTAGTCTAAATATTATGCTAAGTTGTACCTTAAAGAAGTGGTAAGACTTCATGGAGTTCCAGTCTCCATTATTTCCTATGAGGTGCATAATTTACTGCATAGTTCTGGAAATCTTTACAAAAAGGTTTGGGTTCAAAGGTGAACTTGAGTACTGCTTTTCATCCTCAGACAAATGGACAAGCAGAGCGTACCATCTAGACCTTGGAAGATATGTTGAGAGTGTTTGTGATCGACTTCAAGGTAAATTGGTATAATCATATACCTCTCATTGAGTTCGCGTAGAACAATAGTTATTACTCGAGCATTCAAATGGCTTCGTATGAAGCTCTTTATGGGAAGAGGAGCAAATCTCTTATTGGGTGGTTCAAAAAAGTTGGCGAAGCAAGGTTCATAGGACCAGATTTAGTTCACCAAGCTATGGAGAAGGTGAAAGTGATTCAAGAAAAGTTGAAAACATCACAAAGTCGCCAAAAGTCCTACACGGACATTAGCAGACGGACATTAGAATTTGAGGTAGATGATTGGGTGTATGTTAAGGTTTCACTTATGAAAGGAGTTATGAGATTTGGTAATAAGGGGAAACTTAATCCCCGGTATATTGGACCTTATAGGATTTCCAAGAGAGTGGAAAATGTGGCAGATGAGTTGGAGCTACCCCAAGAGTTAACAGTGGTTCATCCAGTATTCCATATTTTTATGTTGAAGAAGTGTTTGGGTGATCCTTAATTGATAGTACAAAAAGAGAATGTTGGGATTAAGGGTAACCTATCCTGCGAAGAAGTTCTGGTTCATATTTTGGATCGTTAAGTTCACAAATTGAGAACAAAATAAGTTGCTTCAGTCAAGGTCCATTGGAGGAACTAACTTGTTGAAGAAGTGACTTGGGAAGAGAAGGAGGATATGAAGAAGAGATATCAACATCTCTTTGAATCCGAAGAGAATGCAGAACAAGGTACTGAATTCTCTTCTTAGCACTTTATAAGGCTATGTATGAACATGTTTTTACTTGCTTTTGTTGTTGAGTGCTGAAATGATGTTACTATCGTTAGCTTGGTGAAAGAATTCTCATTCGAGCACGAATGTTCCCAAGCGGGAGATATTGTAACATATCGTGTCTAGAATTAACTAAGGTTAAGCTAAGAAAAACAAGAAGAACCAAATTTTGAAATAAGTAACGAAATCTAGAAAATTTCTAGATTTCAAAAGTGAGTTTTGGTCATTTTCAAACGGACACAACTCCCAACTTAGGAGGAGTTTGGGTGAGATCTTAAATATGGATGGAAATCTCGTCTAAATATCTTTCCAACAGCGTCAAGTTTTTTGAATTTCCGAGGTCGTATGAGGGAGATCTGACTTTTGGAAATCGGACTGTTGAGCAGGGAAAGTTCCAAATATGGATTTTTAAGGGTGATTATTTTTGTTTTTACGGTGATAAGTTGGGGGTCTAAGATGATCCCAATCAGTTTTCACATTTAGAAAATAAGCTAGGGCTTTGAGAAAAATGTGAAGGGAGAAAAAGAAACAAGAAAGTCAAGAATTTGTTCATGCATTTCATTGGGGGTGATACCTAAAAAGGTATGTGAGATCATTCTGTGTTGGGTTCTTTCTCCCACCCTCCAAATTGATTCAATACAACAATTAGATTTAACTGAAAGTAAATCTTGAAGTTCTTGATGAAAAGTTTGAAATTCTTGTTGGTTGATTTGTAGTTGGTCTGTAGTAGTTTGGGTTCTTGTTTTCGGACTCCTTGCGGGTCTAAACTATTGGACGGGGAGTTAATTAGGGATACTAAGTGTTTGACGTGGAATCCGTCGAAGTTTGGGAAGTTTTAGAGAAGAAAAACGAAGAAGAAAGTCGGAAAACCCGTGTAGTAGGCACTGGGGCACCACGCCTCCAAAGTGCATCAGGACACGTCTGTCCGTTAGGATCTAGAGCACTATGCCTTCTAGAGCGCCTGATGACAGCCTCTGTCCGTCAGGCCCTGGCGTTGCGCGCCTCTTAGAGCGCCACTACCTCCTGGAGACCCTGTTCTCTCCCTATCTTTTCATACTAGTTCCTAAGTAGTGTACCCTTAATTCCTAGTTGATTACAACACTCTAGAGTACACTAAACATCATGAAATCATTCATAAACATGAGATTATGAACCTTGAATCCACACTTCAATTCAATAAAGTTTAAGAGTCAAGTCTAGACGATAAGAGCAAGTCAAAGTAATGTTTCTAAAGTATTTCACAAATGTTTTCACTTTGTTTTAAAGACTTAAAATTCAAGTCAAAAAAGAGTAAGGAGTTAAGTTAAATTCTAAAAAGCTATAAGGGACCCTAAGATTCAAGTTTCAAGTTAAGTAAAAAAGCAAGAGTTGAGTTCATTTATCAAAATCTATACGGGAACTAAGTATTCCCTAAAGGTTTGCAAATGTTTCGCATTTGAATAAAAAAATGGAACTAGAAGTTCCAAAATAGTTTTGAACAAAAAGGGAACATTGATTCCAAGAGGAGCTTCTTCAAGCTAAAGAATTTAACAAATTATCTCAACCCAAAGAAAAGAAACTTTCAATTAAAAAATAGGGATAATGCCCAAGTACCCCCTCAACCTATGCCCGAAGTCTCAAAGACACACTTATACTATACTAAGGTCCTATTACCCCCCCCCCCTGAACTTATTTTATTAATAATATCTTACCCCTTTTTAGCCTACGTGGCACTATCTTGTGGGCCCAACGATGGTTGACTTTTTTTTCAAACTAGTGCCACGTAGGCTAAAAAGGGGTAAAAAATTACTTATAAAATAAGTTCAGGGGGGTAATAGGACCTTAGTATAGTATAAGTGTGTCTCTGGGATTTCGGGCATAGATTGAGGGGGTACTTGTGCATTATCCTAAAAAATAAGCTAAAGTATATTTTGGGAGTAGTATTGATCACCGATGTGGAGATGAAATTCATATTAACTCAAGTCCCCATGTAAACCATGTAGCCACCATGGAATTGATTGGTCATAATTTGTAGATAATCACGTAAGGAGAGATAATGGATCCACTAAGTTGTGTAAGGTCCTATACCGATGGCAAGGTGTAGGATGGTTCTCATGCTACATGAGGTAAGACGTTGTAAAATCACTTAGGCTCACAGTGATGGTTGTCGGTTAGAGAATATCCAACAAGAGTTATATTACTTTCATATACAAGTAAAGTTGTGTTGTTATTGCATTTCTTTAACGAACCAATTTTATTTACTGTTTTATAAGATTTACATATATCTTGCATTTATTTTAAACTGCTTTATATGTATATCATTGATTCAAGTATATTCTTGAGTTGAGCAGAGCCAAGGTAAGTTCATCTAATCCCATCAAGCTTAAGTCGTCAGTTAGCTCTCCAACTCGCACACTCGTACATTCAATGTACTGATGTCAATTGGTCTGCATCGTCTTATGATGTAGACGCAGGTACCCAGGATCAGCACACAACTCTTCGATGATTCAGACCGAGTTCCACTGTTAGTGGTGAGCCTTCTTGCATTCCGAAGGATATCCTTTTTCATTACTTTATTAGTTTAGCTATTACGATGTTGTGTGGTCTGTCCTAACGTCCCTCTTCAGTCAATTTAGAGGCTTCATAGACAATAGTATTTCAGTTTGGAGTTATTTTCTTTATTGAGACTTAAGTGCCATTGTGGCCAGATTTATTATATGAAGTGCTTTCCTCTAAACATGTCTTATTCTTAATTAAAGTGAGTTTAGACTCCCCCTGAGTTAAGTAAGCCAGTCCAAGGGAACGCTTGAGGGACAGCAATGGTCTTCGAGTGTCAATCTCGTCCACAGTGTAGGCTCGGGGCATGACAGTTGATTTGGATAAAAGAAATGGGTTAATAAATTAAGTGGGTTGGGTCGGGTTAAAATTAGGTAATTTAAATAAAATTGAATATTTTTAATTGATTTGGGGCTTTCCATCCAAGGAGGCGCATATTGTGTGGTAATTTTAACCCTTTTCCCTCTTAAATTACTGGCGAAATTCAATTTTGAGATAGAGGAATCCACAAACTAACTGCGATGCGGAGCAACTTTTGCAATGTAGTTGAGGGTATCTTCAATTAGATATAAGATAGTGGTGGTGAACCTCACTTGCATCAATAGAAAAGACACATTGGTAAAACTTTTTGATGTTTTTGAATCTTTGAATATCAAAATAATTACTGCAAATATCATTACATTTTCCGAGACAATTCTCAACACGACTTTCATTGAGGTAACACAATCTTTTTCTAGCCCTCTTTTTTGTTTGATTTTAATTTTATTGTTTTTTCCACCATTACATTTTATTTTCTAAGTTAATAATAAATTTTTTAAATAAAAAAAATCTTACATATCTAACAAAAATAAATGAGAAACTCACTTATTTTCTTAAAAACTATTTCAGGTCTAATCATGTACTTCCTCAGTTTAAATTTGATTGTTTCGTTTTAACTTGAAATAATTTTTAAAAAAAAATTAAAGTTTTCTTTTGAATTTTGTATTAAACCTATCAAATAACGTTTAATCTTGTAATATTAAATATATCATGTGGAAAATTAGAAACAGAGAGTTATGAAATAAAAGGAAAGAAACACTAAAGATTAAGATCTTTGGCAATAAAACTGCCCATCATTTTATTAATTATAAATTAGATGGATCTCTAAAGTTCTGAAGTGTTACTTGTAAAATGATAAATTTCTTACTATGTGATAATTTCGATAATTTATACTCCCTCTGTTTTATTTTACTAAGTTAGTTTAACTTAACACGAAGCTTAAGAAAGAAATATTTTTTTCTTTATAAAATTTGTGGTTTAAAATAAGTTATAGATATTTATATGATTATAATTATCTCATTAAGAATAGAATGAACATTTTAAAGTTAAAGTGTAATTAAATATAACAATATATTATTCTTCTATGGATAAACTAAAACGGAAAGCGACTCATATAAATTGGGACAAATGGGGTATTAGTTGAATATAAGACCTAATATTTACTCTCACTTTAATTTAATTTATCTTTTTCCAGGCTGATGAGGAAGAGAGCAATCTTTTGAGGTTAAGGATTCAAAGTACTATAGCTTCTCTAAATAATCTAGATAAACCTATGAGCTCTTAGAACAATAATCATTTTGATTCAACTATATTTCTCCTTCATGAGAATACGGATGTATTTATTCCAAGGGTGTTTTTTTTCTAGATGATCTTAAAGTTTGGTCACCTTTGAATAGTTATTAATTTATGTAGTTTGTAGTTGGTATTTTTCACATGAAATTTCAACCAATGAAAGTCTACTTTTATAGTCCATTTCTAAGGGTGTGTTTGGTATGAAGGAAAATGTTTTCTAATTTTATCATGTTTGGTTGACTTAAATGTTTAGGAAATATTTTCCATATTAAGAAAAATAACTTCTCTTAGAGAAGTAAAGGAAACACTTTCCAAAATCATTTTGAACCTCACAGCATAACTACTTTCCATTGTAACTTATGTTACGGGTTATTGATTTCAAATACTAATCTAAGAATATCTTACTACTCCCTCTGTCTACAGTTAATTGTCATGGTTTTAGAATCAAACTAAAGAATTTTGACCAAAATTTTTTTATATATATTTTCATCATATTGATATGCAAAAAATTGCAATCTATAGTACTATTTGTATCGTTTTTTAATATCCAATTTTGTTTTAAAAAAATTATAGTATTAACATTATCTTATTTAACTTTAAAAATTAGTCAAATTAACTTTCAAACAATGCAACATGACCAATAAAAATGAACAAAGGGATTATTGATTCTTGAATTGAGACATGACTCTCAAGCTCGATTCGAGACCCAACTCTTGTGTTTCATATTGAGTCGGGCCAGATCTCACTAAGGACTGAAAATTTAGTTTTGAATCGAGTCATGATTCAGATGTTGGGATGAGGTTTCAAGTTGGGTGTTAGAGTCGGGTTTTATATTGAGTGTCAAGTTCAAGTCTCATGTCAAGTGTTAGGGTTAGGTCCCGAATCGATCATTGTGGTGGGATGTCAAAGTTGAATCTCTTTCCAAAAGTTGGATCCTGGGTCTTGGTCGAGTAACAATTCGAAATCATTTACCAATATTACACAAGAAAATATTTTCAACTCTCCAGCCTAACATGAGAAAATAAGTAAGAATCCAAATAATGTTCCAAGAAAACATCTTCCGTTGTACCAAAAACACCCTAAATTTACATAAGTATTCAAACACATGGTGTATGCCACATTAGTTTGTACACCCCTGAACCAGTGATTTATAATAAGAATTGAATCGCACGTGAATTATATTATGAACAAATGCTATATTATTCTTGATGTTGTATAACTTGGAAAAGTAAATCATCAAAGTGATACGTAAAAATAATATATTGTAAAGTAATGACATAAGACAAGAAATTATTCTTACTGAAAATTTTTGAGGTGTGATCGTCTAACAATATCACTAGAAAATAATAATTTGAGAGCCTTCAAGATTTAGTTAGGGATTAATAGAGTTATTGTGATGAGAATAAGATGAATTACAAGCGAGGGGAATGAGTATACTTATAGTCTAACGTACCCTAAGTAATGTCTTATGCGTATTTTTTGCCTCTTATAATAATAAGTATTATCTCTACATTGAATTATCAAGTGCGTGGTTGAATGACTACTTAAGAAAGTAATGAATCATCCAACAAAATATAAATGAAGCTTATCTAGATCGAATATTGATAAACTATATTTCCAATCTCATTGCTCCCAAACTAAATCATTTATATAGTTGTTTTGTATCTTCAATAATGAATAGAAGAATCCTTACTCAGTACGACTTAAGGTCAAGATCATTATTATTGTTGATGACTTAAATTTGACTAGATTTTATTGGTTTTCACATTGTGATATGCTTGAAATGTCAAGTGTAATTATGTTATGCAATAATTTGTTGTATTCTTGTCAAACATTTTTTTGTTTATATGTTAAGTATTTCCCTTGGAGAAGCACAGGTTAGATAGTCCCATATAGGGATGACAATTAGGTGGGGCGGATGAGGTGAGGTGGGTTTAAGGCTAGGCGGGGTAAAATGAATTTAAAGTCATGCGGGGCAGGAGGGATGCGAGAAAGGTTAAAGTGAGTTTTTTTAAAACTACTGCAGCGTGGAGCCAAAGGTGGATCCGAGATTTTAATATTGTAGGTGCTACTGGAGCTATCAACTAAAAAAATATAAGTGAACAAATTTAACACTTTTCTTAAAAAACAACAATCATATTTAAATATGATAGCAAAAAAGAAATTAAAAAAACCACAATAGAAGTTATTTCAAATAAAGAATAAAGGAAGACGGAATAGCTTTCTTAATAAAGTTTTGTTTAGAAAAATTAGCAAAAGGGCATAAAGGGAAAAAGAACAATCAACATGGAGAGAAAAATAAAATAGAATAAACAATTAAATTGAAATAAATAAGTAGAAAGAGGTGAGTTGGATTTGAAATTATAATTTATGAGTACAGAGGGAATCAAACTCAAGAATATGAGAAAACCAACAACCTTGGGCACCCCGTTTGTAATCACTGCGCCAACCAAGTCATTTGATACATAGGTGCTCAATTTTAATTTTTATACATTTAAATCCTCGTATAAAAAGGACTACGATGATCATAATAAACTCACTCCTCCTGAAGAGAAGGAACATGTTTCTTTCAAAGAAACACTTCCTTTAATATTTAGGTTTGAAGACGAGGAACCTCTTCTCCTAGAGAAAGAAGAATGGAAAAACGAAATTGAAGATCTTTTTTCTGAAATGAACATCTATATCTTGGAATCACATATTGAATTTACGAATTCAACTGTTTCACCGATGCAAAAAGGACAACTAAGTAAGTGTCAAATGAGAACCACCGTCTGTTCTAGATGAACAAATTTGACTCATCACTTATGAACAAACTGAACATATGAGTCCAATTTGTTCATATACATCAAGACGATGTTTTACCATTTGACACTCATATATCCATTCCACATTGGCAAAACTAATGAAATCATAAATTCAATATGTCATTCCAAACTATACACATGTTCATTATAAAAAGATCTTCAATTTTCTTTTTACATTTTTCTTTCTATGGGGGAGAGGTTCCTCGTTTTCAAATTGAAATCTAAAGGAAGTGTTTCTTTGACAAAAACATGTTCCTTCTCTTATCTCTTTGGAGGAATGACTTCATTATGATAATGGACTCAGAATATCCTAGACTGAACTTCCACCTCCCATTGTTTTCTTCATTTCATTCATCACCTCCAAAAGTCTCTATCTTTTATCTTTTCCACTTAGACTCAACTTTCCCCTCTTTTCAATTATCTTGACCATATATTTTAAAGATTTTCGTCTTGTACTCCTCTTTGAAACAGAGTCGTCATCTGAATCCATCTTCCTCACATGAGTGAAAATACACCTTTTATTATCAATCAAAATTGACAACCATATATATATCATAAGAAACTCTTCGCTATAACAACAAAATTAAACAACATTTACAAATATTAACATGAATAAAGACATCCCTTTTTGTGCCGAAAAATCAAGAATGGATAGCTTTGAATTCTTCAAACGGTAAAAAATAGAGTAATAGTGAAAGCCCTTTTTCTGCTGGAAAATCAAGAAAGGATAGCTTTGTATCCTCGAAATGGTATAAACTGAGTAATCAAGAGTGATGAGTTTGAATAAATGAAGTGCATAGAAACAAATATATATATATATATATATATATATATATATATATATATATATATATATATATATATATATATATATATATATATATACAGAGAGAGAGAGAGAGAGAGAGAGAGTAACATCATAACAAAAGAGTGATTTAGACTAGCCACTTATGTGTGAGAGAAATATTTATGTAAAGTGCGTGCATTTTGTGATAGATTTTAGAATATTCCAACGAATCGTGTGAACACTAACTCTTTCAACCGTGTCACATGAATTGTAAAAAAAATTCAAGGATATTTTATGATACAATAAAAAAATATTTTTATTCTATTGTAATTTAATTATTGTACAACTTTTACAAATTTGTGGGATCCACTTTAGCTACACCTTAGTTTAATTCATATCCTTTAGTTATAACTTTATTACTTTTGAATGTTATTATTTATGTAAATTTTTCAATTACTTTTCAGTAAGAAATTGATGATAAATAAAGAAAAATATTTCAATTATGGACATACTTATGGCCCCCCTCACATTAGGTTTTGAAAAAAAACGATAATTATAGACCCTCAATTAAATTGATGATTATAGACCATTGATTCAAAAGGTTTCGGATTTGTCTACATCCTAGAGAAAATAAATTAACAACGAAATTATTTTGAAAAAAATGTGTTGCTCAACTTTTCCGCCTCGAGACTACATCTTGGGCAGGACTATATCTGAAGAACCATTACTGACTCCAAGAAAACCCTTGGTCTGACTTACTTACTCAGCGGAAGACTTGAACTTAACAAAGATAAGGTCATGTAATAACCTAAAGAAATAATATCTTAGCTAAAATGGCTACTCAAGTCTCATAGAAAAATTCTGAAAGACTCATAACTAACTGTCTGACTATTTATGAAGCCTCTAAAACAACTAAGATGGAAGTTGGGACGAACGCCACAACATCCTAATGAACTAAAACTATAAAGCAATGAAAATGGATCCTCCAGAATGCAAGGAGGCTAACCAACTGACTTTGAAATTCTCACTGGATCAACGATGCAGTAGGATGTCAATCCTAGTTACTAGCGTCTATATAACAATACGATGGAGACCAACTGACATCAGTATATTGAATCTACGAGTATGTGAGTTGGAATGTTAATACACAAACATAGCCATGAAAGGAAATCCGAATAACTTACCTGGCTAAACTCAACTCTACGTGACTGAACTAATTTAAATATTAAGCAATTTAAAATAAGTGGAATTTAAAGAAAACATGTTTAAAACATGATATCAACTCTATATGTATGAAAAGATACGATATAACTCTTAGATGTATGTAAAATACCAACAAGCGGTGTATATAAAATACAATTAACTTTTGTGGTTGTTTCTCTAACCGAGAATCACCATGTAAGAGCTATTGTGATGATGCAACATTTTGCCTCACACTGCTAGGGTCGTCCTATATCTTGACATTATTATAGAACCTAAACTACTAAATGGATCCACTAGTTTATGCTAAAAAGCACTAAAGGAATCATTTAAAAAGTATGACACTTTT